TGTATTATAATCTACTTATAGTTAGTGTAAACAGGTTATAGTTCATCTCTAATATCTATTTATGTTTCCTTCAAACAACCGGATTTATTCAAGTTTCTCACCAACACTACATCTACAGATTACATGTGAACACATAACAATTTACCTTCGCCCAATACTCGTTTCTATTGAACAAAGCCTGAACGCATCATCATTTAACTGAACAGAACCCTTCTTTAGCCGTTAGCGGTGCTGCTAACGTTGCTGCTAACGTTGCTAGCTCTCCTGTCAATTTAAACACAGATTTGTTGTTTATAACATAACATATCAGAGATCTGCGAACAGAAAGCATGAATGCCGATGTCCTGATCGCATATTTTTATTGAATTTTGGCCGATAATAATGCTCAGTAAATTTTCCGCCTTGGTGGTTAAACTGTGTATTTAATCCACGGTTCACATGCGTGCCAAACCGCGAGGGCCAGATCCCTACGGATCACGGATCGACAACGGTTCGTTACAGAACTAACAGCTCCTAAATATTCAGTCTGCACTGTACCCAGTCCACTAGTGTACTGCTACTGTCTAGACGTGTAGATATCTGTCTCAGATATCATCAGGAGAGCTGTGGTGAAGTTAAATAGGATAACCAATTAAAAATCACCAAACACTGGTGGTAAACATTGAGTTTTAAGGCTTATTCCCTCAAACCGTAAGGGAAAATACCCCATAGCTGAACTCCAGCAGGGATTAAAGCCATTATGGAACAGCAAAATATTCTGAATTCTTTGGCCAAGGGTAGCCTCAGTAGACAATTATGTAATGCAGCCACAATAAGCAGTGAGCCACCAGAGGCAGTGATTTACAGGGATTTTAAGGGGCTAAGTGCCGTTGTTAGTTTTTATAAAACGGTTTCTACATATACCTGGCAAGGTTTCACAAGAGACACACAGGGCCATAAAAAATGCAATAATTTAGTGATAACAAATTATCATTCTTAAGCCGAGCAGTGTAGTTCTTCAACGTTTGCCAAGAAACACACAGACGCAGTGGAAGGAATGCTTAGACATTGCCGTGATTATTAACATATATATCTGGATGTCGCCATTAATTGTGCAATTGCTGCAGTATTGTTCAGCACCCTTCTTTGCTGGTACCGGGCTGTGTTTTGTCTCTGGTTGGAGTTTTAATGGTGCTGCGCCAGAAGCAAGAAGGACATTGCTCCGGCATCTTCTATCGCTGTAGTTTGTATGTCATTAAGGCTTCAGTGACGTAGGTTCACATCTCTACCCGGTCAGTCTCGCCTCAAGGCCATCATCAGAATGTTTATGTACAGTGGCGACATCGAGCCAATGAAGTTCAACCTCATGGGCTCTTTAGTTTACATTAGGAAAACATAAAAAATGAGTTCTCATGATGTTTCAGTTACGTTATAACCACAACCATCGCCTTCCCCTAGCTGTTGTCACTTACCAGTATTATAATTTTTGTTACAGTGTAGCTTGGTTATATTGCTGGTTGTTGAACACACAACTAGAGAAAAGTGAACACAACAGGCTACAAATAAATACATGCACGTTAGCTAAAGCTACGTTGTTCACTTGCCATAGATAGTTAGTGTAGTTTGTCTGCCTATAATGGAGATTTGACCGCAACACCGACAGGTATTTATCCCTGGCTGCCCAAACCTATCTCCCCGTATGCTCCATATGTTTCTGTAGCCGGTATCTCTGTTGTTATAAGATATGTTTCATGGTAGTTTTGCCCTTCACTGGCAATAATTGCTCTCTTGCCCTTGCTAACACAATAGCTTGCTTTGTTGCTCTCTGCTACTACACATTCAACCTAAATGTATCAAGTCCCGGCGAGGGAGAAGGATGTTGAAGGTGATTGTGGGAAATGGAAGTCCTATCGTATGCATCATTATAAAACCTTGAAAGCGTTCAGTCGTAGATTCTTCCTTTCAGGTGCATCCAACCGTACTGTGTGATACCTTGATATCAAGGAGATCATTCATATTTCCCTGATTATGTGCTTGCGTAATTACCCAAAACATGATGATTCGGTTGGGTAATTGATTTAGCTAGAGCCATTCGTTATTTATTTCATACGGTCAGAAACCCGTGTAGTGAACGAATGAGGCTTCCTACGGATGAGTCTGTACTTGACCGGGTCAGTAAGCCTTTCACTGCTGCGCCGTTGACCTTTTGGATAATTACGTCTCAGTGAACTCTGAAAGTATAAAACATTTACCTTTTTATAATTCATTTCATCACTGGCTTTTGATAAACAAAGGTGTTCAGTGGCGGAGAAGTAGAAAGGAAAGGTGAAAAGGGAGCAGAGGAATGAGGTCTTACTCACAGTGCACTTATTTGATTAATGATATGTAGCCGGTCTGCCAGCGTCCCCCAAGAACCATGACGTCATGTTTGGAAGTCCTCCCGTCAGGCCAATAGGTGGCAGAAGCTGCTAACGAGACGTGACGGACATTCCACCGTTTCCAGGCAAAGATGAGAGAAACTTCCTACTCAATCTCTCAAGTGCCACTTTGTCTGATAGCTTTCCACTCCAGTGAGAGGTGTGAGTAGAATGAGTGGGGAGGAAGGAAAGACGAGAGGGAGGGAGAGCACGAGGGAAGGGAGGTAAATGTCACCAAGAGCACTTCGTGATGCTTTAAACATTTGCCAGCCTCACAGTTCGTCACTTGCTTGGCAGTTACCTTACCGTGAGCAACAATAACACAACAACAGTTCACCAGATTGCAAAAGAAGTAACCTCACCAGGCGGAGAAGGATCGTTTTAACCAGAGAAAGTACCACCTTGTAAAAAGCAAATGCACATACTTGCGCATGCAATGTGACAGGACCCTTTTGTAGTTGTGTTGATGCGGTGCTGGCAAGCTCGATGAGTGCGTAGAACAAACATTTTGAGCAGTTTAATGGAGAACATGTTGTGGAAAGGACAGTTAAAGCAGTAAACTGATTTAACTGAGTTAATGAAGTGTTTTTAAAGTGTAAGACCAGTTGACAAGATGTGTTTTTTTATATTTTAGAAGATTTCAATCTGAAACTACAATAGACAATACTGTGGTGTATTTGAGATGCCTTACTAATGAGGAAAATGTCCGTACTGTTTCTGAATGGGCAAATAAAATGAAAACCAGATTATTGTGATTCCATGTTGAGGATAACCTGCGATACTACTTCTGCACTTTACATCTATCTTTTGAGCAAATTTTTTTTTACTCAACTTCTGTTGGCTGGAAATTTGTAGATTCCTCAATGAAGTAGATCAGCAGCTGTGGTCAGCTTGTGGTCAGTCAGTCACAATGGATTCCAGTTGTCACAAGAGGAGCAAGATGTCCTAAGGAGCATGAGTAACACGGAGGATGTGACTAGCGTATCATGGCTCTGTGGTGTTGAGTGAGTGTGTCAGCTCAATGGAGAGAGGGTGACAGCAGAAGCTGTCATCTGGCAGTCATTCCTAACCTTATGAAGAACCTTTTTTTTTCTTTTTCTCTTTTCATGGACTCAATAGTAACATAATGACAGCTTTGCCATAAAAATGAGAAACTATCCTTTTTATCACTGCTGGGTAAAGAAGGAATGGTGGGAGACATGCTTGTAATGAGGGTGAGCAAGACGTTCAACTATACTTTGTGTTGCAGTTCCAGTACATAAATGATTCCTTTTTTAAAAGTTTTTGATTGAAAAAAAAATAGTATTAACTGTGAGAGTATTGCCCTGGAATTAGCCTGTTAGGAAAAGTCCCAAGCAGTGAACTGACCCCGCTAAGTGTTTTCCTTCAGGTGAGAAATGGTTTCGTGGTTGGGGTTACCATCTACCAGTCCTACGAAGCAGGTGGGATTTAGCCAGATCCTGAGCAAAGTGTCCTTACATTGTAGGCGAAAGGAGGGGCCGGCAGTGGAAGCAAAGGGAGGTGGTAGCAAACTGGACTGGACTGACTCATTCTGTGAGCACGTAGGTCTCCTCCACAATTTACTTACACTAACAAATAAAGTTACTGTGAACTAAACCATTGTGTGAGCGGATGTTCTTGCTCCAAATTAGCGCACTAAAAGGAACCATATGGAGCTTACTGTGAACTCACGGTGTCAGTGTGGTTTTGAAAATCAGCCCAGGCTACTTTCAAATAATCAAATGTTTGTGTGTCTTTACTTTAAGGACTTTGGAGATCCACTCTACTGTCAAAACACTACACTGTGTGTCTTAAGAACGACTTGAGAAGTGGCTGAGAAATTTCTCAGGGAAATAGGTAGTTTGACATTCACACAACAAATCTTAGTGGTTTTGGTTTTACCTAAAACACGTGTAGCAAATAGTCTTCGTGCGACACGGTTACATAAAAAGCCAAAACAAAGACGCAAATAGACACCAATCCGCGCTCTGCGATGATGCAACTGGAATGAGGCGGATAGGCGAATTTCACACCATTTGCGTATTGGCTTACGTTATTTTCTGTATTGATGAAGCGGATGCAATGTTAGCATAGCCTAGCACCAATCGATCCAAACTCCATTCACAAAACTAGCATTTTTAAAGTCGTTTGCTCGTCTTCTTGACTTACAGACGTAACAAAGCATGAAATCCAGACTTTTTACAAATCTGAATCATTATGTAGTTATATCGTCATTATGTAGTAACACAAATATTTGCTTGGCGTTTGGTGGGAACACGGCATTCTTATTATATTTGTCAAATCTGTTTTGTTAGGCATTGTCTTGATGTGCTTTGTTCTATGTCTTATAATGTTCCAGAATGGATTTCTGTTTCAATATTTTCTAACGTTTAATACTTTATTTTCAGATTGATTGCAGACAGTGCTAATTATGAATTTAATGGAAATGTTTTTGTGTTGGAGAAAGTCTATTTACAAACTGATAATTATGAGATTATTATGTTTTGTATCATTTGTCATCAGGAGATTTTCACATGACAACGGTAACATCATATATGACAATGACTACAATGACACATTTAACGGAACCATATTCGTCTACAGGAGCAGACCACATCAAGAAATATTGGAGTCGTTACTACCAGGGGTCACAGGGTGTAGTCTTCGTATTGGACAGTGCCTCGTCGGATGAGGACCTTGAGGCAGCGCGTAACGAGCTCCACTCGGCCCTGCAGCATCCGCAGCTCTGCACACTGCCTTTCCTCATCCTTGCCAACCACCAGGACAAGCCTGCTGCAAGAGCTCCAAACCAGGTAACCTACTGGAGCCAGTTTACAGTGCTATTGCTAATTTATTCCATCCTCTGCACCTCTAACTGAAATGAATGTACATTTTTACCCAAATAAGCACTGCAGCTTCTGCCTCAATCAGAAAAGGCAGTTTTGCTTCTTTCTTTTTTTTACACAGATCTATACCCATCATGCACATACACATGGAGGGCTCTTTTCATCTGCACTCTGAAATATACAGTTGTACACAACAGGTCTCCTATGATTGTTAAAGAGTCAAAAGGGGGAGGTTTCAAAGCTGAGCTCTAACTACAGTGGGGATCATAAACTGTCAACATATTTTACTACTTTTTAGTAGTGGTGGTGCTGATATGGAGGGTTGTGATATAGGAACAGTGTTGTTGGAGACAACAACCTAGGTCGGATCTCTCAAGCTAAATTCTTCCCATTTGAGGGGCCAAACTAAAAGTCATCAAAAGATCTCTATAAATTTGTGTTTTGGGAAAAGAGAAACCTCATCCGGAATAGGGAAACAAAGGCCTCTTCCTGCACCCAGCCCTTGAGCAGGAGTTTCCAGGTAGGTCCCTTGTGCCTGGTCCCTGGTAAGTCTCAGCCCCAACAAGTGGCATGGGGCTGATGCCATGTGGGTTACCCCATCCAAGTGTTAGGTGTAGGAGACTAGTGTGTTGCCAAATGGGTGATGGGCCAAGGTGGACTCCATGGCCTGCTGACCTATGGCTTTTAAAAGTGGCTTTGAGATGTGAAATGTCACCTCTTTGTTGTGGAAGGAGCTGGAGCAAGTACGCTATTGCTTTAGCCAAAGCCGATGAACCCAAATGTACTGCGAGTGTGAACTGGGAATGTCTGGCTGAGGGCCCTTTGCATAAAGTCTCCAATTCTCGCCTCTGCAAGACTTATTTTCACGACTTGTTGGAAGTTGATGATACCCAAGAGTTGTGGCCTGAAGGTCTTTGGTGTCTGTCTTGGCCTGATTACCTGTTAGTAGAACCCACTGTTGAGGGAGGCTTTCAGGTTTCTGAATGACAAGAATGTGGAATCCAGACGGATTGCAGCTTCTGTTGTTGCAGAAGCAAAAACTTGTGTGGGGAATTCATGAAGACAGACTTTTGGTTTGCCTCAACACGATTCAGCCAGTCCGGCCGAGGAGTGGGGGCTTCTCAGCAGGGGAGTAGGATTGCGTATTCCTCGACTGGGGATATTACTGGACGGTGTGGAAGGAACACTTAAGCAACTTCTGAACTCGACTCCACAGCCTCTGTGGAGGAGGCAAGTTGTAACACCTGCAAGTTTTATCTTTTTGCCGAAAGTTACAGATAATCAGAAAGCTCCCCAGGGCAATGGTCCAGGGATAGATTGATGTGAGATTCAAAAGGCTCTGTTGTTGGACTCGGTCGATATAGCTCTTCAGTGTTGTGACATAGTGTGCTTAAGTTATTGGGGTGTTGCACAATCTCAGAACCGGTCGGTTATCAGCCTTAAGACGATAAGCCTCTGGGGGCAATGGGCTATATTTCTGGGGTTCACTCCTTATGTAACCTGTGGATCCGGGCTAAGACTTCCTTTTCAGTGCCCTGCTCTTAAGATACGACACAAGAGTTGAGAGACGACTTGTGCGACCAGATTCTTTCCCAAGTAGTCTGTTTTCAAGCAAATTTTAAGCTAATGAACATTTTATTTGTCAGACAATAGTCGGTGGGTTCCGAGATTGCCTTTCGTTCAATGCGTTCTGCCTCTTTTGCTCTCGATGCGACTGTTTACCTGCTTGAATCTAATTGGTCGATATTACATTGACTGCAAACGCAAACCAGAACGCTTCAGATACCAAAATGTTGCCTACAGATTTGGCATATGAATGCAGAATCTTTTTGTAGAGATGTGTCACAGTGCTCATCGTCCTAGTGAAATCTTAGGACAAGGTACTAGAAAGGAGCTTTCAAACGACTGAACGGTGGATCCAGGATGATTAACGTAAGAATAAGGATACTGGGGTAGTGACGGAGAGAACGAGTTGATGGATACAAGTGGCAGAAATGTATTTCTCTTGCAGGGTGGCTTGAACATGCAGACTGAGCTTTGAAAACTCGCTGATTCTTCAAATTGAAGGGAGCCAGATAAGTTGGTTTAGAGATCTTAATTCCTTTCTGGCACATCCAGCTGAGAGGAGACCCCAGAGAGAACCAATGCTGGGGGACTTTTGTATCTTCCTGGTTTGGAAACGCCTCAGGATCTGGATGACATTATAAGGGACTAAGATGTCCCCGGTTGGCTGTCTTCTAAAATGTATTAATTTGTTTTATTGTCATCGTTTGTCATCGTAGGACTCTATTCATCATGCGTAAGAAAACACGCAGAGCATGTGCTTCCAAGATGTTTGCTTTTTATCGTTGCCGGTAAATGGTCCATGATACAGCCGTCGAGCTCTGGAACACAGTTTCTCCCCCCCCCCCCCCCCATGTTTTTTTTCCCCTCATTGAAGTTTTAGATAGTGTTGTTATTTGTTACTTGTGTGGTAGGTCAACTTCTGTCATTTAATCTTCAAAACTAAAGACATGATTTATATCAAGCTTAGCTCTAATTTCAGTCGGACTCTAGATTATTTTTGGAAACATATCGGCTCTGAGCACAATTCTCTCTCAAGTTCCATCCATCTTTTTTTACCGAGCTGTCTTTAGACTTTGCTCTTCTGTATGTTGACTGAGTAGGAAGCGATGCACTTCTGACGGGGCGTCTTACCAGAACTTGCCCACACAGAACCCTCATGATCACACATCTTTTGTTCCAGTCTTATTGTACTCTTCTCTTTTGTCTCAAATAGTAGTTTGCCACGAACAGACAGGATGTAATAGTTAGAATATAGTAGAAATGTCTCGTAGTAGTCATGAAGTAGTAGGTCATGTCACCACCTCCCCTCAGGACAGAATTAATCACCGCTTGTGGAGGCAGGACTGAAATACAGCGTAACTAGGGTAGTGTCTCTCTCGCTCTCTCTCTCTCTCTCTCTCTCTCTCTCTCTCTCTCTCTCTCTCTCCCCCCCCCCCCCCCCCCCTTTGCTAGCCTTGCTCTACCACTCTACCTCCCTCACAGAAGGAGCCTCTTGGAGTAGGATGTTATGGATAGCATTCCCTGTGTGATGCTCGCTCATATTTCAAAAACCTGGAACCTCATTTTCCTGCACATGCGCACACACACACACACACAAATATATACACACACATGCATCATCTGCAGAGGCCTATTTAATGTTTCTGAAGGATAACAAAGATGGATGCCTGTAGAGAGGACCATCTGCGTTTCCTGGCCTAGACCACCGGTGTTGCTGCTCCTCTGCAGTGGGAAAGGACAGAGAGACGAGTTCTGTACCTGGTTCTGTCGTGACCCAAGAAAACCCATGACTCTACTTGAGTCAGTTTAACTTAGTTTAACTAATCAGTATGGGTTGGAGTCACAGAACCTCACTAATCGCATCGCCACAGCTGGTCTCATTGTTGGCCCTCATAACGCAGCCAATCAAACCAGTGTGTATGCTGCCCACGCTATCCACAGGTCCTAGCGTGATGTGTCCTCTGCTATACTTGACCCACCATTGCATCGGTCTCTGGAAGTATTGACTCGTCTGAACTGTTTGCAAACACCGATGACACGTGAGACTGGCTCATGTCGCCTAAAGGCCTTTTTTCTTGCAACGCGTCGGGAGGGTCGTTCCAGTTCATAATGAGCGACTTACATAAACAGAGTTGAGCGGGGCGGCAGAGGAAGCTGGGGTTAGTACTGAGGCAGTGGATTTCATACTGTCTACTTGTATCATTACATGTCTCGTCCATGTTGCTATTTTGTATTTGTCTGCAACGTCACACTCTTTCTTACATTCAACACATTAAAAGCAATCCATACAGCATGATTGTAGCTTTTTCTTTCAAATTGTAATACATCTATTTCAACATCTACAATCAAACAGCTGTAAGTCTTAACACAAGGCTTTAAAATATGCTGTCAGCGGTGACAGACATCCGTGATTCATTCATTTGATTCCACTGACGCTCTAATAATGCACTTTACCGAGTCTCTTGGTTGGGTTGTGGGTACAAGAGGGATACTCTTACTTGGCATAGTTTTCCAAGTGTTTGTATATTCTTCGTAATCCATTTGTGTGTTTGAAATTACACGGCCATTAAGGAGTGTTACCATGCTGGCGTGTGCATATTATCATCTGACTCACGGCTGTGTCATTGACGGAGCTCAGTGTTCAGTGACTCACCAGTAATCTCTGATAAGACCTAACAACATTTTAAGAACTACAAAAGAATTCACAGACTCCGCCTCTTCTCTTAACCCTCACTTCTTCGCCGTACTGTAAGCCGTGTCTTGACCTCGCTGGTTTCTGACTAATGGCTCCGGGTGATATCGCGTGTCGCGCTGTTGAAAATAAGATAAAAACAGGAGTGGAAATAGTAAGCCCTCTCAACCACTGGGGAGTGCAACAGGGCAAAACCTCCATATGTTAAGCAAACATTTGCTCAACAGCCGCAGAGGTCTCGTGCTGGAGTTTATTTTCAGTTCTCTACGGGTTCCCATGCGGTCGTTTTAAGTTCACTTACAGAGGAGCTTTCTCCTCTGTTGTAAGACTTTGCATCTTGCAAACATATATTAGGAACGAAGTATGCTCGGCATTATTTAGACAGCATACAGATGCAAACGATCAAACCCTTAAAGATCAAACAACTGCCTTATTAACAGGTACTTATTCATGCAGAGTGGTGCTTAAAGAACATAGGAAGGCTCTCTTCAGCCCAAGGTGGCTTGTGTGCTTCCATGGAGTGCTGTGGTGACGGTACATCCAGATGTGTGTGCCAGTAGCACCCTGTGGATATTTCAGAACATGAAGATTTCCAAGCTTTTTGTCACACGGGAAACTGCCCCAGAATCCACAAAATGCCAATTCCAGCTTTATTCTATTAATGTATTATGGTGTATATGTTTTCAAGGTATTTGACTTTGTTGCAACA